ATGTAATGTTCTTGATTGTATACTGAATGATTTTATCATCGAAACCAAGTTCAGCTAGCATTTCAAAAAAATGTTGTTGACTCTTTAGAAAAAACTCCTAACGCACTGATTGACAAATTTATAAAAACAATTTTCTTGAAATCATTAACATTGTTAGGATTCAACAGTTTTTTATACTTAATTTGTTTACATAATAAGTTCTTAAGTCAATTCAAGTATATATAGGCGTGCGTCTGAAGTGGTTATTAAGAGGTCTGGTCTTTGACTATCTCCGGTGATAATGGAAGGGGAGTTAAATGTTGGTAGATCAGCATAGAGTGTGACGTCTTTGACTGTTGACAATGATTTTGCAATGGACTGTAAGATGGAGTCACGTCTACAAGTATAGTGACCCTGATTTAGATAGTAATTCCACCCACAGACAACGTGAAGGACCAATTCTGGCAGTAAGCACAAGGAACAATCTGAAGACGAAGAAATGCCCCATTTGACCACGTTTTTCTTGTGGGAAGAGTATTATTGATGTAACGGATGGTGAAGTTATAGATGTTTTTGGGTAGTTTAGATTGTGCTAGTGACCAGACTTTGTTCAATGAAGGAAGAGAACACTTTGATACAGTTCTGAAAAATAGACCTTGTGAAGATAGTTCGTTGCATAACTTGTTTTCTTGACCTTCATGGAATTATTTGATGATTTCTTTTGTGGACTTAAATCTATCATACTGAATGTTGGTGTGAATTGCGGTGGACTTCCAGAGTTGTTTGATGTCTTYATTAGGGGAGGTTTTGAGTACTTTTCTTAAAACGACTTGGCATTGAGTGAACTTGACTGATGGAGGATTTATGTTTAAACCAAATTTATTGACTGGAAGAAAAACTTTACTGAGAGTTCCAGAAACCGGGATGTCTAGCCACTTTCGGATATATCCTGCAACAATGTTATCAACATTCTCGATAACCCACGTTTTTGATAGATCTGCAATCGTGAAATGCCAAGATATTTTAGGAAGAACATATCTGGAGTAGAGGTAGGGTGAAGTTCTTTAGTGTCGATTTCTGTCATCAATTCATTAATTAAGTTGTTTAGAGCTGATTTATATTCCATATTCAACATATCGAAGTCAAAATATGAGTTTCTGTTTTGGTCGAGAGTCGAGAGTACCAGGTCGAGATTCGAGAGTACCCTTTATCTGAGTATCCAATTATAGTTTCTATGATTAGGTTCCTCAAATATAAATCAATAAATATAAATGAGAGCGTACATATATAATAACACTGATGATCATGGGATAATAAGGCGGTCTTCTCCGGTGTCATTAGGCTAATTGCCTGCTTACAAGGTGCATTGGTTTGTTCTTTTTCTATGTTTTCGACTGAATTTCTTTAGCCGTCGCCTTAGCAGCTGGGGCCAAGCAATCACTGTGGGTAATTTGCAAGGCATTTTAACGGCTTTGATAGGAATCTAACGTATAATGCCCTTCTGAATAAATTCACTAGTCTGACGTCAATCATTCACTGGCAAAAAAGATTTGTGCTGCTGCTTCTCGTGCTCCTTCTAACCAATAGCATTTTAGTCCTACCATAGCCTAGTCTAATGCCGTCTGCGAAGGAGACTAACCCAAGCTTTCCAAACCCAAAATGGAATAAACTCTTAGCACTCACTGAATAAACAAGAATCAGTTTACAATTACAACAGGGTCGCTTTGGTATGTCCCAGAACTGCACCGCACAAGACTGTCAAAATTTTCGGCAGCTTCTGTCTTATCTTCTCGTTGAGGATATTCTCGTGGTTCCGCGTTCTCGTAAGCGTTTATCATAATCAGAGATTAACAAGTTTTCAATCCATCAATCCAAGGTAAGATCGCATTCCGGTATATTAGCAAAAAAGTGGTATTATTCTTTTTTTGAATGATAATAATTTCTTTTTGAATAATTTAATAATAAATAATAATAATAAATTGTACACAAACAATGACCCGACGATAGCTGTAGTTAGAAACTTTGAAGAGCAAGCTGTAAAGAAGGGAAGACTATCTCTTGTAAAAGATGCTCAAGGAGCTTCTGAAGACTATGGTATCACTCTCAACTTAGAGTACCCGGACGAGGTCAGAGGAAAAGTGGCAAGGAAAGCTGAATGCCAAAAGATGCTTGAAACAACCTCTGGGCTGATCTAAGTCTGGGCACGGCTAACTCACAGATCGAACCCTGAAACAACCTCTGGGCTGATCTAAGTCTGGGCACGGC